CATTTTACCCGCGCACGACGATGCGACAAAATAGGTGTCCTCCCTAGGCAAAATTGACGTTCCGGACGCGCTGGCGCAGTCCGTTTCGTCATCCGGGGTCGCTCGGACGACGTCGTCGACGGTCGGGTCAAAAACGCGTCGAAATTCAAATTTCACAAAAATATTGACCCGCGATCGATTGTTTCAAAAATTTCATTCGAGTCTTCGACGGGTAACAGTGCAAGCGATGTGAATTATGGCGATCGGACGTGTTGGCTCTCCGAATTGCGAAGTTTGTGCGCGCGGGAGTGCGAATTGTGCAGAAGGCCACCCTAAGGCTCAAAAAGGTCCTATAGGGATCCCTTTTGGGTTTCCTCATGTTGGTTTCACCCTTCTAAATGCTAGAAGTCGATACCACACACTTGGAACCACAAAAGAGGACGGAAATAGGTCAAATTACAATGAGGCGGGCACCACTTCTAAGGTTCTAAGATAGTCAAAGGGAGATCCCTAAGGCTAGATCCTAAACCCTAAGAGGAAGACTAGACCTCACTAAAAATGAGGTCAACATTCACCCAACAAAAATACAAAAAAAAAAGTCGAATTTTTGCATCACTGGCTTTCAAAATGCATTAAGAATTTCCCTGCACCAATATCTTTGTTGTCCCCCTCTAAGCACTATATCTCCTTCGATCTTCCCCATTCTAGGTTTGCATCTTCTTTAGTGACACCTTTATACATGTCCCTTGTAAATCTCCTTTCCAACAATGTTATCAAGGGGCCGTTTGGTGCAACAGAACAGCTGCGGAGCATTTTCAAAACACTGACATGGGTGTTTGTTTTCTTCATCTTCGTTGCATTGCGGGATAAGTTGGTTTTGTTTTTGCATTACATGCCGACCGCGGGTTAGACCCCGTGTCTCATGTTCAGAGAAAATTGTTTTCGGCTATGCCCTCCTGTGTCCTCCGATTGTGTTATTAGCTATGTTATTTTGGTGTAATTGGTGAGATTCGGCGGTGTTATTCGTGCCTTTTGTCAGAGTCGGTGATTCGAGTTATTTTGTGGTAGTATACAGATGTTATTGTGGTGGTATTAGTTAGTTTTTTGGTGTTATTGGTAAGTTATGATGTGTTATTTGCGTCTTTTGCCCAAACCGGTGTTATTCGAATTGTTTTGCAATAGTATTCGGGTGTGATTATGGTGTTATTAGCTAAATTTTTTCAGGTGTTATAAGTGAGTTACGCGGTGTTATTCGCACCTTTTTCTCAAGCCTGTGTTATTCGAGTTATTTTGCGATAGTATTCAGGTGTTATTGCGGTGTTATTGCGGTGTTATAGCTATTTTTTTTTGTATTATTGGTGAGTTACGATGTGTTATTCGAGTCTTTTGCTCAAGTCGGTGTTATCCAAGTTATTTACCGGTAATATTCATATGTTATTGCAGTGTTATTAGCTAGTTTTATTTGTTATATTGATGAGTTGAGCAGTATTATTCGCGTCTTTTGCCCGAGCCGGTGTTATTCGAGTTATTTTCCGATAGTATTAAGTGTTATTACGAATAGGTCTGTCAAAACGGCTCGTTGTTCGCGAACAGCTCGTGTTCGGTTCGTTAAGAAGCTCGTGTTCGGCTCGTTCGCTAAGTTAACGAGTCGAACACGATCAACACGAATAATATTTGTTCATTCGTGTTCGGCTCGTTTTGGCTTGAAAAACTACCAATCAATTACATATATATCTTTGATAAGTAGTATTTTCAAAAAAATTAATTGACTACAAGTCTACAAAAATTTATAATCAATTAAAAGTATTAATAAAGAAAATATAATAAAATTATTAAATTAGATTCAAATGATGTTTTAAATATTGTCTCAATCCTTAACATCTTGTAGTTATGTGATTAGGGTTGTCAAAATGGCTCTTTGTTTGTAAACGGCTCGGGTTTAACTCGCTAAGCAAACGAGCCGAACACGACGAGCCGAACACGAACAAATATTTGTTCGTACGTGTTCGGCTCATTTTGGCTCAAAAACTACTAATCAATTATATATATATATTATATATTTATGAGTAGTATTTTTTAAAAATTTAATTGACTACAAGGCTACAAAGATTTATAATCAATTAAAAGTATTAATGAAGAAAATAGAATAAAAATTATTAAATTAGATTCAAATGATGTTTTAAATCTTACCTAATCCTTAACATCTTATGGTTACGTGATTAGGGTTGTCAAAATGGCTCTTTGTTCGAGAACGGCTCGTGTTTGGCTCACTAAGCTAACGAGTCGAACACGAATACTTTTTCAGCTCAAAATATAAACGAGTCGAACACGAGCTGAGTCTGGGCTAGCTCGTGTTCGACTCATTTAGACCGCTAGTCATAGACGATATGTAATCATTTTAATTGTTTTTTTGTTTTATTGGTGAGTTGCGCGGTGTTATTCGTATCTTTTGCCAGAGTCAGTGTTATTTGAGTTATTTAACAATAGTATTAATGAAAAATTAATTTTATGCTAAAACTGATTACTTTTAATCAAAAAATATATATGTTCATTGTGTACTATTTACATAATTATACCAAAATTTTTCTTAGAAGATTTGCATACATAACACTCAATTTTTATATATTTACAAGTCTAACACCTAAATTTATGCGACTAATGGATTAATTTAATTATTTTTCTTTTTTTTAGTAATTTTAGTACTCTCTTTTAAGTGAGGTGTATATTTTTTTTTATACTGTTAAGAAGTAGTTACTTGCTTCTAAAGTATCTAATTTATAGTTATGACAGTTTTATCGTAAACAGTATTACTGCACAGGGGCAAAATAGTCATTTATCCAGAAATAGCTGCAAAACAGTTGTTTCCCAAACGCACAAACCAAACAAACAGTCAGTTTGTCTGGACCAGCTGTAGATCAGCAGTTTATCTGAATTAGCTGCTTATCAGCAGATTATCAATAATCTGCAGCTACCCCTAACAGACCCTAAGCCATCTCACTTGATCAACACCATCTTTACTCTTATCCATTTTTTGTTCATATTACAACTACACAAATAGTTTCACCGAATCCCCACCATACTAGATCTCACCAAAAAAACCTTGAGAGCATAAGACCCAACTATCATTGAATTCCATAATCACCCCTTTCCCTTCCCCTTAACAGACAAATACAACCGCCTGCAACTTCCATATACTCTATCTGGCAACAATTCATCCTTATATCTAACCTCTCACCACATGCCCCATCCCCAAGCCCTCATCGCCTAACCCAATTCCATACATGTAGATTCATCCTTACGCCCGACCTTTCGAGTCTTTGTTTTATCCTAATTAATTCCAGGATCATAACAATTAGGAAGATTTAAATAAATACTGATTCTTATGTATTTATATATTTAACACCGAAACTTCAATTTTATATACATACTAGCTTACCTATGCATGAAAAAAATGTACTTCACTTTTTTTTTAAGTTAAAATGTTGTTTATTTTTATGTAATATGAAATATTTGAGTGGCTATAAAAACTATAGTTTAGGTGTTAGATATGTAGATATATAGCAATTGGGCGGTATGCATGTAAAAGCCCCAATTATGACCAATTTAACCATTGGCTCATTCTCTCTAACCCGCACTTCATCATCCAAATGTACACTCACATCATTTGGAAAATTGATGAATGATCAACATTAGGGCATTCAACAAGAAAAGCATCAAGCAGCGTGGCAGTATTGAGAATCCTTGCATGGCATCATACTCTTCATAAACTCTCAGAACAAAAGCACACCCAGTCGGAGAGAACCAACCATTAATCAATGTCCCACTTCTTCTATCGAAAAACATCTTATAATCAGATAAATTGAAATAGATATAACCAAACAAAAGAGAATTTCCTCTTACCATGAAGCCGGACAATCGTTGCGCATGTTGACCACCGCCGCAGGCGGCTGCGGGGGCAGAGGCGGGGGGCGCAGAGGCGGCGGCCGCCGGAGCGGGGAAACCAGGACGATTAGGTGTCTTCAGCCGCCGGGAAGCAGGTTCCGGAGGAATGAGCGGCGTACGAGAAGGAAGAAGAAGGGCGAGGCGGAGGAGAGCATCGGCCATTCAAAAGAAGAAGAACCCTCACGACCTTAAAAGAGGAGATTCCCAATGCGTCTTTCACTGCTGCTTCTTCTCGGTGATGTATAAGGTTGAAATAATCGGGAGAAATTGAGACCAAGGAGACCAGCACTCTCGCTCTCGCTTTAAGCTCTGCCTTGCTCTTTGCTGGTTTTCTCTGTCGAGCGGGCTGGGCGAGCGCTTGGTGGTGATAAGATGGAGAGGAAGGGGTGGATGGTTGATGCTTTGTACTCTTTACTTCCTTTTTTTTTTGGCTATTTTGGACTTTGGGTATAATTGCATGCATATCACACTATTCATGTGTATTTACAAATACTCCTCGAAATGTGTATTTACTATTTTACTTTTAAAAATATACTAATTGTGATATTTTTTTTATTCAAGTCATAATAGTCGATAAATTTTTATGTTGGTAGTCAACTGTCTGTCAAACTCAATCTCTACTTAAACGTATCAGGGGTTTGGGACACGCAATGACATTATTATAAGATTTTAAAATTTTATATCCGATGCATTTTTATTTGAGAATATTTAAATGAACATATATGTAAGGTTATATAATATTTTAAAATATTCATGGTGGTTATAATTTTGAAGTGATTAATGAAGAAGGTAGTGTTATATTGAATTTTTCTTTAGTTTATGATTTTCTTATTACTAATATTTTATATAAGAAAAGATGTGAAAATATTATCCCTTATCATAATAAATCTAATAAAACATAAATTAATTATTTTCTTTCAAGAAAATTATACCTGGGGATTGTAAATAATAGAAGGTCATACAAAGTAAAAAATTTAATTACCCAATATTGATATTAGTTTCGAATTTTAGGATGAAGGTTTGGAATGAAATATTGTCACACAATTAGATTCAACACTTAAAAGATACAAATAAAATTAATTATTTTTAGTAAACTTCGAGATCTTAAGATGTGAGATATTCATAAAGAAGTTAATACTATGTGCAATAAAGTAATGAATATTATTATGTAAGTTGTAGAAGATATGCTTAGGGAATTCAAAGAAACATTTCTTATTAATGAAAATAGTTGTTGGTGGAATAATAATGTACAATAAAATATAAAAGAATTAAAACTTGTGTTATGAAAATTATTTTAAATGGAAAAAATTTTGAAAAGTTTTGAAAATTAGGAAAAATATAAGGTGACACATAAAGGGTCTAAGAGAATAATGTATAATGTTGAGAATTATGATTTTAATGATTGTTATTGATTATATATTAAAAAATATGAGATATATATGTATAAATTGGTCAAGCAAATGGGCAAGAAAAGTAAAAATTAAATTCAAGTTAAACATATTAATGATGAAAATAAAAAAAATACACTTCTTATATGATGATATTCAATATATGTGAGTGAGATATTATGATAAACTTTTTAATGAAGTTTGTGAAAAAATGATCGATTTTGGATATCTTAATATCGCAAATAAAAATAAAGGTTTTTATTTTCCCTATCACATTAATAAGACTGAAGTTGTGAAGTTTAAAGAGAATAAAGTGTAAAAAAACAGTAGGATCTAATGGTATTACAATGTAAGTGTGAAATTTTTTAATAAAATTAGAATTTTTTGAGTTACTAAGCTTTTAAATATTATTTTAAAATGCTAAGAAAATGTTTGATGTGCGTAGAAATAGTCTATTGGTTTTTTTTAAGAATAAAAGGGGCATACACAAGTGTATAAATCATTGAGAAATTAAGTTAATTTGTCATACATTTAAATTTATGGGAGACAATAATTGAACATAGGTTACAAAGTGATACAAAATTTTCTTCAAAATCAATTTGTATTCATATTGGGCAAGTATGATACGGAAATGCATTTATTGAGAGGTTGATGGAAAAGTACATACAGAGTAATGATGATCTACATATGATTTTTATTAATTTAGAAAAGATTTAGTCAGTCGACTCAATGGCCTGGATTAGGCTTGGGTTTGGGCTCGACTTAGGTCGATCTGAACCCAACTTAACCAAAACCCACTTAGTCTAGCCCAAACCCCAACTTGAAAGTTTAAACCAATCTTAGTCACTTTGACTCAACCTAAACTAAACCCCAAATCTAACTTGAACTCTAAACTAGACCCTAATCTAAACCTAGCTCAAACTTAAACCTAATCCAATCCAAACCTTCGAACCTAACTCAACCTAGGTCAAAACCAAACCCAACCTTTGACCTAACCCAACCTAGGTCTAACCCAAACCCAACCTTAGACTTTGTTGAATCCAGATCTAACCTAATCTACACCCTAAATCTAACCCATGCATGTTCCAACTTAGACCTAACCCAACCCAAGTCTAACCAAACCAAGCCAACCCATTTCAACCCAAATTAAACCCAATCCAACCCAAGTCAACCCAAATTAAACCTAAGCCAACCCGGGTAAACCCAAATCAAACCCAGTTCAACCAAGTCAACCCGGGCCAAACCAAATCAAACCCAACTTAACCTGGGTCAACCCAATTTAAACCCAAGCCAAATCGAGTCAAACGAGCTTAACTTGGGTCAGCTGAAACCCAGTTTGATAAAAAATTAACCGATGACATGCTGAATGGAATATACTCCTATTAGGTCGAGCCTTATGTCTCTGGTTTGTAGATCAAGGAGGGAAATCATGATTCCCTTATTTTTTGGACTTTCTTCATTGTGAGGTTTCATTAGTCACCTCGGGGTTATTCTTATGCTTGCCCCAAAATTGTTTGGTTTCCTTCTTTTGTGCATTGATAGACTCATCTATAGTGATTTGAGCTTTGACATGATGAACAAGGCGAGCATAAGTGTGAACTGTCTCCTCAACAATAACAAGAACGAAGTCTTCTTAGAAATAGGGTTGTAAATGAGTCCAGCTTGAGCGGGCTGGGTTCGTCTGAAATTAGCTCTCGTTTGAAATGGATCGTGAATAGTGTGTTCACATTCGACTCAAAAAACTTATTCATGTTCGCGTTCGACTTGAAATTGGCTCGTTAGAATATAAAATTATTATAATAATTAATTTTTTTAAAAAAATTAAAATAATAAATTTTAAAAAACTGTTTGTATACAAATTAATTATTTATAATTTATAATATTTAATTTTCTAAATATTTATTATGTGTGCGTGTGTATAAACGAGCCAATTCGAGCCGAACACAAGCGAACAAACTTTTGTTCATGTTCGACTCATTTACATTTCGAGCATAAAAATTTATTCGTGTTCGGCTCGTGAGGCTTAACGAACGAGCCGAACATGAGTTGTTCGCGAAAAATGAGCCAAATTGACAACCCTACTTAGAAAGACTCCTCTTGGTAATTCAAAATCCAACCATAAAATCTGACGAGCTTCAATGAAGAATATGTTGAAGTATTATTTAAGCGATCCTCCCTCATTTTGATAAATTCTTGAAATAATGGATGAATCTCTGATAACCCTCCTATTTGCTATGAACTATTCCACAAATACCATGACAAGCTCATTAAAGGCGTGGATGGTGCCTTTTGGGACAAAGCATAACTAAGTGTGAGATTAAACCTTAAGAGTGGCAAGAAACACTTGACAAAGAAGCAAAATATATGCAAGTTGAAAGTGCTTGATGGTTCAATATTAGTTAACATGTTCATAAGGGTGGTTACCACTTTATAAGAATCAATCTTTGAAAGTGTGAGGCCCATTGGGATGAGGTGCTAGATGACCACTTTGGCTACGAACGAAGGCTGTTGGAAGCTATGATGAGAGGGGAAGCATTCCTTAGTCCACATAGGGAACTTTTCTCAAAGTAGGTTTTATGGCTCATCACAAACTAGGCTATCAGGAGCGGTAATAAAATGTGGTGGGGCTAATTTTCTCGCAAGAATCGAAGGCTTACATGTCGACATAGTTAAGCAAAATAGATTAGTAGAACTTGTAGCATCAAGTAGGTTGGCGTCCCAGGCTGACAGAGGAAAGGTACTATCACTAAGAGGGGCCAAGTATGCTGAAGCGATGCATTTCTTTTTGTCTATTGAACTTATGGTAAATAAGATCCACCTAATTGTGCTGGCATTGACTACCAAGCCTCCGGTTGAAGTTGACATGTCTCGTTATGAGACTCCTCCATCTCGCACACTCGATCCTTAAGAGAGGAATCTGAGAAGCCATACAAATAGGACAACATCTTTCGGGGTGGTAAGAGCTAGAGGCTCGACGTCCTTGACTTTGTTACTGTTCCTTAGAATGTTGGGTGTTGGAGTTGGATGTACTATTGTTGTGAATATTGTGTATGATGGTCATTCAATAAGTTTTACAATTCATTTGGTGGTGTGATTGCTCTGCACACAAACGGTGCCAAACTATTGCTTGTTGGAAGATACATGATGGTGGAGTTAATATTTAGCATATTAGTATTGTACGAAAGTCCACCCCATACACTTGTAATAGAAGTGACGGGCGGAGACACATACGAGGCCTAGCATAATAAGAATTATCTAATATAAGTTGGTGAGTGCATGTACAATCTCTTTTCTCACTAGCAGGGAAGAGTTAAATAGTTCCTAGAAGTACAATATTTGAATGAAAATGACCTATTGTACAACAGTCAGAAGCGGTTCCAATTGGAATAGTTACTAGGACTTCGGTGCACCATCATCGAGGTGCATCATTGCAAACTTTGTAACAATGTCATGCTCCATAGAGTGCTTCATTGCTCCACAATGTAGGACATTACTCCACACATAGCTTCATTGCAACGAGAAGGGGGAGTCTGACAGTGGTCAAGGGTTGTTGGAGAAGGAAGTGCTCGTCAGGTCTTCGATCTAAAACAACACTGAAAATTGGCTCCTCCTTCATTTAGTTCTCGATCTAGCTCCAAGTCTCAGTCTTTCGGTTCTCATTCAAGAAGGGGGCATGACTCAATTTACAGAGTCCTGGAGTGACTTCCGTTTCAAATAAAGAAAGAACCCACACCACTTCATCAGACCATCCACAGAGATTCTCATAATCAGATGATATTTTGTGACATTTTAGTGTCTTCATGATATTAGAATTGAACAATTGAACAATCTTAAGTTCGTTGGTTTCATCTCATCTACTATGCTCGTTAATAATCAATGATCGTCAAATTTGGAATTCATCTTACCTTCTAATTAGTCACCCAAATCATTCAAAAGTGATATAAATATTTGATTCAGGCTTGATCCGACTTAGGATTACATCAATTTTGATGTCATTAGGTTCGTCTTGCTAAGCCGACCAGATTGATTATAAGTTATTATAAGTTTACTAAAATCTAATTTCTAAATAATTTTTAATTTGAATATGAATTTTTTTATTTAAAAAATATCTCATAAGGTTGCTATCATGTGATGGAAATTTGCATGGCATATCAAATTTATAAGCTAAAATTTAATAATTTAAGATGCCTACATAATTAATATAATATTTAAAAAAACAAGTGTTTTACTATAGTACCATACGAAGATATTTTATTCACAACCAACCTACCTGCCACAAAAAAATCCGTTTTTCAACCCTTGAATCTTCTCCTTCCTGTATTTCTTCCAGGGCGGCCACTCCATTCCTACTCATCTACTTCTCTTCTGAAGCTCGTAAGCTCCCTCTAATGGCCTCCCCCTCCTCTATCCTCATCAACCTCCCACCCCAAGTATACCACCATGAAGAAACCCCCAATGCCGCTCTCCTCTCCAACCCCCCTTCATCCTCATCTCCTCTCAGAAACCCCAAATCCCTAACTTTTTCCTCTCTCATCATCATCTCTTCCCTCTCCATTGCCCTCGCATTCCACCTCATCTCCACCCCCTTCTCCCACTCCTCTCTCAAATCCCCCCATCTCACCAACCTCACCCATCCCGCCGTCATCATCCTCTCCTTCGACGGCTTCCGCTTCGGCTACCATCTTAAAACCTCCACACCAAACATCCACCGTCTAATGGCCGAAGGAACCTCGGCAGACGAAGGTCTCATCCCCGTTTTCCCTTCCCTCACCTTCCCCAACCATTATTCCATCGCCACTGGTCTTTTCCCTACTTACCACGGAATAATCAATAACTACTTCCCCGACCGTGAAAATCCTAGCGACTGGTTCTCGCCCAGTAACCACGATCCGAAATGGTGGCTCGGGGAGCCGCTCTGGCAGACTGTCGCCCGTAGGGGATTCAACGCAGCTGGCTATTTCTGGGCTGGAACAGAGGTGAGAAAGGGATCTTGGACCTGTCCTCCCAAATTCTGCCCTAAATATAACTCCTCCACCCCTTTCTTTGAAAGAATTGATGACATCTTGGGATATTTTGATCTCCCGGAGGAGGAGATTCCTATCCTTTCAATGGTTTACTTCCAGGACCCGGACAGCGAAGGGCATATCTATGGCCCCGATCATCCAGAAATCACTAAAGCTGTAGCTCATGTGGATTCCGTGGTTGGAAGATTGATTACTGGGTTGGAAAAAAGAGGAATTTTTGAGGAAGTCACCATTATTCTGCTCAGTGATCACGGAATGGCCGGCATCTGCGATGAGAAATATGTGTTTCTGAACGAATTGGCTCCTTGGATTGAGATTGATAAGAACTGGATCAATTCTGCGGAGTCGTTGCTCACCATTCAACCTCCACCAGGAGTTTCATCGGCTGAAATTGTGCAGAAGATGAATAAGGGACTCAGCTCTGGAAAGGTTGGGAATGGAAATATGTTGAGAGTGTATCTAAAGGAGGACTTGCCGGAGCGGTTTCATTACGCTGAAAGTAATAGGATTCCGCCAATCATCGGAGTTGTAGAAGAAGGGTATACAGTGAAGTATGAGAGGGAGAAGAGGTATCCATGTGGAGGGTCTCATGGTTATGATAACTTGCTGTTGTCCATGAGAACCTTTTTTGTCGCTCATGGGCCAAGGTTTGCAAGGGGGAAGATGATACCTTCGTTTCAGAATATTGAGGTTTACAATCTTGTAACGGCTATTCTGAATTTGAATGGAGCTCCTAATAACGGCTCTGTTTCCTTTGCGAATTCTGTTCTTCTGAAAAAGTAAGGCTTGAAGATGGATACCGGGTGGTTTAAAGGTATTTGAGATGGATTTTTAGTTTGTATTATTGTTTTGGTTTCAGTATGGGTCCAATTTTTATCGTTTTGGTTGTCTTGACTGCTATAATTTTATTTGGTTATAATTAATCTTTTTACTTTTTCTAGGAGAATTTTTAAATAAAAAAATTATTTATAATAAAATATATTTTATTATGGTATTTATATAAAAAAAAAAGTTGTTTGATCTTTTTTTTAATAACAAAAATTTGAGTTTTGATAAGTTAACAAAAAAGTAAAATGTTATATGATCAAGCATGAATTTAATTTAAAGTATGAATTGAAAATTTTTAGAATTATATGAAGAACTATTTGAATCTTTATTTTAGTACATTTATAATTGAACTAAACATCTTGATGAGATAAATCTAACAATATTAAAAGTGATTCAATCCAATTCCAAATGAGCCCAAATCCAACATATTAAAAAAATATTGAAATTAATTGGAGGATCAAAAGATATCTTAATTTTAACATTAATTGAAAGATTAAAATATATCAAAATCTTGCGTGATTGTAGGCAAAATAAGCACCTTGACTAGATGAATTTGCATCACTCGATTTTGAGATCATTTAGACTCATAAATGCTTAGAGAATAATCTATTATCAAATGAAATAACTCAGGTCATTTGATTGAGAATTTGGCTAAAGTTATTGAAGTGTCACTCCAAAAAATAGTAAATAAACACTTATTATCGAAGTGAAATGGCCTGAATTCAAAGAAAGCTCGGAGATTTGAATAACTCTAGAGCCATACTCTACACTCAGTGCCATAATCACCGCTATTAACTATTATTTCTCAATCATCATTGTTTAATCATTGTCATCTGATGCTTGTCACTTAATTGCCACAGCTCGTTACCATCATTGCTTGATCGTTGTTGTTCGATCATCATCATCTAACAATAGTTGCTTAATTGTTGTCTCACAATTATAGTAGTTTAGTTGTCATCAGATCACCATCTTTTAATTGTAGCGATCACCTGTCATTATTTATTCAACACTCTTAACTACAACGACAAAAATTGAGTTTGTGCTGTAAATTTTGTAACATCATATTTCCAATTAAGGAGAAGAGTGGGTCTTTCTAATCTCAAGCCTCAACTTACATAGTATATTATTTTCTTTGGCTTGGACCCGTGATTTTTTTTTCTTCCTTGATTTTTTATGTAAAAACTCTAGTGTCTCATGTAAAATTTTATTTATTAGTCTGTGTGTGCAAAATATTTGTATAAAATTAAGAATTAAAATTCTCATTTAATTGCAACAAATATTCTAGTATGTAAGAATGTAACAGTGTTTGTGAGAAAACATCCCAACTTCCTATAAATAACAATTCAATCGTTAACAAGCGTGATGCCCACAACAACAAAATCTCTTGATCCAAAACCCATCAATCTGAAAGTTAGCTTCACAACCAAGGACATGGCCTTCCTTTATAGGATTGGATGCACAAGATGGAGCATTAAGCTTGAATTCTTCGACCTTTAGAAGACTCGGACCAACAGAGAATAGGATCACAACATATTAGAGTTTACCAACTACAAAATCAACATTACAGAGCTAATCATATTGAGGATGGTTATGTTAGATATTCTCACCATCATGTTTTCTACTCTGCCACAGCTTAATCTAGAATTTCCTTACAAGAGTAGTTGGACTACTACTTGTGCTGATCGACTGACACACGTTTGTTCAGTAGCCGTAGGAAACTTATTAGCCTCATCTCTTGGATGTCTCCTCGTGATATCCTCCTATCTGAGTGTTTTCAGGAATTCTTACTCTTACTGATACAATCATCAGCATCCCATTTCGATGAAATTTAAGCTAAATGCTATCAATTCTTAAGATGTTTTCTCTTACCTTATATTGATCACTATAAGGCCATGCATATCCAATAAGTTTTTGATACTCTCCTATGCTAGGTCTTCCTCATTGCTCTTAGGTGTCTTAGGTGTCAAGCTTGTACCTAGCTATACTCTCTTTGTGGGGATTATTCTCAACTTTGTCTATGCTAAAATATTAGTCGAACAATTCATTGCTAATTAGAGATCATAAATGGTGTGAGGGGAAGTTTTGCTCGAGCCGCTCGAGCCTTTGCCACACTCGTTCGATCGTGAGAATGAAAGGAAATGGTGCACGCGGGTGAGCCGCTCGTCTCCTCCTCCTTCCTTTCTTCTTTATTCTTCCTTTTCTTCTTCTTCCTCTTTTCACTCCCTGTCTCATGCACACTTTCTTGTTTGTTTTGTTCAAATGAGGGGACTATAGTATTGTTAAAATGAGGGATTGACTGACACACGTTTGTTCAGTAGCCTTGGGAAACTTATTTTGCCTCATCTCTTGGATGCCTCCCCGTGATATCCTCCTACCTGAGTGTTTCAGGAATTCTTACTCTTACTGATACAATCATAAACATCACATTTCGATGAAGTTTAAGCTAAATGTTATTGATTCTTAAGATGTTTTCTCTTACCCCTATAAGCATATTGATCACTATAAGGCTGTGCATCCAATAAGCTTTTGATACTCTCCTATGCCAGGTCTTCCTCATTACTCTTAGGTGTCAAGCTTGTACTTAGCTATACTCTCTCTGTGGGGATTATTCTCAACTTTGTCCATGCTAAAATATTAGTCGAACAATTCATTGCTAATTAGAGATCATCAATGGTGTGAGGGGAAGTTTTGCTTGAGCCGCTCGAGCCTTTGCCACACTCGTTCAATCGTGAGAATGAAAGGAAATGGTGCACGCAGGTGAGCCGCTCGTCTCCTCTTCCTTCCTTTCTTCTTCTTTCTTCCTTTTCTTCTTCTTCCTCTTTTCACTCCCTGTCCCATGCGCACTTTCTTGTTTGTTTTGTTAAAATGAGGGGACGATACTAATAATCTCTCGTAGGCTTTCCCATGAGCGGTGGGGAAATTATTTTATTTTATTTTATTTATTTATTTTTAAGTTAATTAAAATTTAAGTGTATTATAACATATATTTTCATATGCTGGGTCATCCTCATTACTCTTAGGTGTCAAGCTTGTACCTAGCTCTAATCTTTCTCTGTGGTGATTATTCTCAACTGTATACATGCTGAACTTTTGGTTGAACAATTCGTTGCTTATTAGTGATCATCAAATTCTCGTCCCAATATTTCTTAATTCATCAAAACTATGAGAGATTCTTAGAGTACTTTCAAATATTCTTTGTAGAAGCAATCGCCACAGAGAAAGAATGCTTATTTTGCTTCCTTTTTAAGTTTGCTCCATGCAGAGTGAAGCGAGTTTATTTTATTCTGTTGTACCTTAGCATGCTGTTTTGATTTTTGTACTTTAAATAGAAGTGTTCTTTGTTGAATAAGACACCTAGATTTTTTTCTCCATAGCGAGATTTATCTCATTAATTTTCAGATTAGTTTTATGATAGGTGTTCTAGTTGTATTAGTTAGCATATAGCTTAGGAAGCTGAGTAGAATTACTTATTATTTGACTCCTTTCATTTAGATGTTTTACTAATTTATATTTAGAAGATTTGCACACATAACACTTAATTCTTACGTATTTACATAGCTGATATCAAAACATTAATTTTTTTTACGTATTTCCACCTTATCTATACATGTATTTCACTTTTTAAAAGTTAGAATTGTGGTATTTTTGATATGATATGAAATATTTGAGTGGTATAAATATAAAATGTAAAGTTTTGGTCTTGGATATTGTTAAATCTAGATTTGTCCGTGAATCATATCTCAAGGTGTTAGAGTGTTAGAAAGGAGAGATGGAGAGGAGGGTAGAGACAGAGGGAGGAGGAGTGCACAACAACTTGCCCCTCCGGGACAAATTGGGGGTATTCCTGGGCTCTTTTGGCTCTTTTTATATAATAAAATATTTTTGATACACGAAGGAAGAGAGAGAGCCACCAAAAGGAATCCCTCTTACATAAAATGACCCTCTATTTATAGTAGAGGGAGTGCAATGGAGTAAAATTACATTTCTTACCCTGGATTAACGAGGGTTGTACATGTTATTTTGGTTATTTTACACAAGTGAGCTCGTGGCTTGGCTAGTTTCAGGCTTGTCTAAGCTGCTCATCTTCTTGGCTTCGGGTCGTCCTGGCCTCGGGTCATCAAGGCCTCTAATCGTCCTGGCTTCAGATCATCCAGGCTTTGGGTCGTCTGCTGAGACACTCAGTCCGGCGCATTGTTTATGTATTGATATATAAAGACATAGGAATTAGGAGTTATGTATTGTAAGTGCCCCTTTATATTTTACATGTTTGTCCCATCTAGAAATTTGCAGACGCCATCTCATCCTACACTATTCTCCCTGCATGCAGTCTATGTGCTCATGATGCCTTCAAAGAAAGATGCACTAGAGAAAGTTGAGGGAGCCAAACTAAAACTTCATAATGGCACAATTCTCCAGAAGAAATCACCTGCTGAAGCTTCTGCACCAAAATCTGGATGTAGGGAGAGAAGCAGAAGATAGAGTAGCCGAGCAACGCCCGTCCAAAGCTTGTGAGAGTGAACCAAACACTTTTACTTGAAAATTATTCTACTCAGAACAGTGGAGTAAATTTAGGGAAATTTACATACACCTCACAATTCTTATGTATTTACATATCTACCATCCAAGAAGGTATATTTCAAGGTGTCATGAATCTTGCGTGATGGTGGTATTTTTTGATGTGATGTTAATGATTTGAGCGGTATGTTTGTAAATATAAATGTTTTGGTGTTAGGTATGTATGTAAATGCCCAAAAATTTTTCTTCTAGTTAGCAAATTATTTTCATTAGGATGGTTGATCATTTTGGATGGACCATGTGATAAACATCTTTTATATGGATTTTGGTGTGTAGTCATGTATATTTTGATTTTTACATCCTAATTTGCTAAGTTTACTTTATGCAAATGTCACCATTTGTTCTGTCATATTGCATTCATTGCTCATTTTCACAATTAATTACTAATATTAACTTATTTAAAGTAAAAAACGCATTTTCTTGTAATTGTTTTGATGTGATTTAAACGTATACTTGTTATGTAAGATTGTAAAGATTTAGGTCTTAGATATATAAATACATAATTTTAGTTGCGGGGGAAAGAAGAATAAGTTAAATTTTAGTATTGTTTTGGACTGAAGGCTATCGTAGTCGCAAACCATCGTATTGAATACTTGTGATACAAAATATCTTGCATATGAAGTAGAGATTATCATCGTATTGAAGATCCGACGATAACTTTCAGCAAATAATATTTTCAATCGCCTTACTCATAATACTACTTTCTTCAAACTCCTGACGTGTTTTGTACATTGTCAATAATGTATCTTTGTAATTACATATTGTATTGGCTAGATCTTATAGTTTTTTCCCAATCCTGGGTTTTTCCACGAAAAAAAATCCTAGCATTTTCTCATGCTAATTTTAAATTATTTGTGTGTGTTGAATTTTCGTACAACGTACAACATTGAGACGTTAAATTGTAACTCTACTATGAATCTCGTGACACACAATAATAAAAATGTTTCAAATAATTTTAATTTCTAAATTTTAAACAATATAAATTCCAAATATTTTTTATTTCTAAATTTCAAATTTTTTATGCTACCACATGATACTTATCTATTTAAATATATAATATTTATTTTTTCATATTTAGATGCATAGCAGTTTTATCATAACATAAAAATATTATGATTATTTACTTTCAAAATCGAAATACACATTTTTATATCTAAATTTATGATACTAAAATGTTATAAATATAAAATTTAAAAATTAGTGTTAGATATGTAAATACAAAAGAATTGTGTGCTATATATGTAAATTTTGTTTTAAACTAATCAATGATATTGACCAATTATTTGTAACTCAGGTCTATGCTTATTTTTAAGATTGTATTAAAAATAGTGTGAACCCGATTGTAACAATCAATGCTAGAGATTTGAGAAAAATATTACATCAAGAGTCTTGACGTAGCTCTTTTTGGATGGTAGTATTTTAGTTGTTATTGATAGTGTTGTGGTGTTATTTTACCAAAATACTCCCATAATACTACCGATAACACGTAAAATACTATCATTCGCATCTAATCCAGACATAGCTCATCTGAATGTAATATTTTTTTTTCCAGAAATCCAACATAAAACTAGCTTGTTCGCCATTAGCGAGCAAGCCTTCTCATTTTGAAAAAAATAAGAGGATTATTCAAATATAAATTATATTTGAATTGAATTAATAAGCCATATAATTTAATTTAATATTTTTTTTTTTTATTATCCCTAAAAATATGTCAGTGCTGATCTTACAGAGAAGAACGAAATGCAATGAAGAAAGATTCCCTATAAAGAGAACCTGAGGCTCTCCAAGCTGACCGAGAAAAAGCGATTGAGCCATCCCGATACATAGGTTGTTCCCGCAAGAAAGCCGAACCAGTGGGAAGGTTAGTTCCACTAATAACTTAATACATTTTACAGATATAAAAACATCTCGCCGGAGATAAGACTTCCGAAAATAGGCTAATTCATTTAGTATATGACCCTAATAGGAGGATAATTTATATTAATTAATGTTAAGAGATGACTAAAATAAAATTATTCTTTTACTTCAAACCAAATAAAAAAAATATATAAAATCCTACATTTTTTTACAATAAGCCGAAAAATCTTATAGTATTTCAACTACAATACATTATTTTTGCATTACTTTCTTTTTACACTATAATGTTTTTCTTGGAAAATCAAATAGCCTTAAGATAATTGCAATGTCACCCACATACAATTTGATGCAATCAAGTAAGGAAATCACAATTACAAGTAGATAGCATGATTAAAGCAACCATATGGCCTCATTTAGCATGAAAATAAAAGAGATTAGTGTAAATTCACTTATCCAAAAATATAGGATTTGGCTCATAGCATTTTAAATTCACTGATCGACACATTATGTTGAATTATAACCCAGTCAAATAAATGTGATATACTTGGATCATGATTTGTACATTAAAATTCTACTAAGCAATGGCGAAAAAAGAGAATGTGAGGGATCGGAGAAGAGAAAATAAGGGGAGTAGATAAGAAATCCACTATAAAGTTTAGAAGTACATTAAATTTGGGCTATACTGCATAAGGTTTCATTATCTTAACTTCCCTTCTAATCCCTTATTTATAGATGATAATCGAGATTACATAAAAAGCTTTGAAATGTGCAATATATATAAAATATGCAAAACGATACTAATTAGTTACTTCCTGTAGAATATGAGAAATGTGCAGCGTGAGAGCTCGAACTTGTACTAGATTTGCTAATTAGGAGCTAGTCAATGATTTCTCTTGTAGAAATCAGTGAGTAGCTCTTCAGCATGAGCGATCATGGCTAAGTTTGGTCGGTCCATTGAGGTTGTTGTGAGCCCTTGCCATTTCTCCGACCGAGCAAGTCTTTTTCTATCCTAGTTGGAGAGTCGCTTTGACCTTAGCTAGTTGGTTTGCTTGAACATAGTTGACAAGTTATCTTTGTGCCACACTAAAAAGTTCAAATAAGCTTGGCTTGATGATCTGCCCCCCAACTTGATTTACAAGTTAGTCATTTGCTAAACATGGAAGTCTATTCTTAAAGAGTATTAACATGCAGACTATCTTATTATTTTTATAATCGTAAATTTACATATATACCATTTACTTTTTAAGTATTTACATTATCTAGTCCCTAAACTTCATTTTCTATATACATGACATCTTATTCATGCATGGAAATATAATGATAATTTTGAACGAATATTAAAAATTTTGGTGGCACAAACATAAAAGAAAAAGTTATGTATTTGATATGTAAATATATAAGACTTGAGTGGTATCCATGCAAATGCCCCTAATTTATGGAAAAAATTTGCGTAGCGCTGCGTACGATTTTAAGGTTATACCTAGGGTAAAAGGGGGTTATATCCGCGGTATAACCCCTTGTAACCTCCATGTAACCTTCTGTAAATTACTTATAACCTACTAATAAATTTCGGAATTTATTAGTAGGTTACAAGTAATTTACAGAAGGTTACATGGAGGTTACAAGGGGTTATACCGCAGGTGTAACCCCTTTATACCCTCTGTATAACCTCAAAATCATATGCAGCGTTGCGTACGTCTATCGTACGCAAATTTTTTCCCTAATTTACTTGTCAATTAGATTTGAAGTATAGCTAGATGATAGTGGATACTTATAATAATTTTAAAAGTAAACAAGTATCAAATAAAAATCAGCCTATCCTAAAGTAAAGATGTAAATATTAAAAAAAAGGCATTTACACATCTCACACCAAAAATTAAATATTTAGGTATGTATATAAATATGAAAGTTTAGACATGACATAGGTAAAAATATAAAAATTATGGGCTGAAATGCAAATCTCCATTAAAGAAACATTGGAGGTTCGCTTTTCGTGTTTTCCAACAGTATTTGGCAGGCGGTGGGTTAGATTCATGCATCTTCCCCTCTGATTTTCTCCCGCTCCACTTGGGGAATGGTTCAGAATTCTCATCAAAACCCCCTTTTTCGATGCAGCTGTAGCACGCCGCCTTCGTCCCTGTCAGCGACCAAGGGCTCCACATTCATTGGTTATTCTCCGACCCTTTTCTCTGTCTTTAATTTGACTCCCAATTTCTCCGGCCATACAGGCGGCATCGCGCCTCGTTCGTTGCTTTTGCTGCTGGAAGGGAGACATCGTTGATGCGATCACCAAATCGAAGATCGCTTACTGTATTACAGTGTCGGTCTTCTTCATCTCTTCACCACCCTTTTGATCTTACTTTTGCTGCCGGCTTGCTTATTTCTTCGTTGCAATCTATAAAGAAGCCGGCCGGCATTCTTGGACTTCTATCTGTTGTAGCGTCGCGGTGATTTGCTGCAGGACGATCATGGCTGGGGCTTGATCTCCTTTCTGTTCCCTCCAGTTGTTTATTCCGAACTTCACTGCTAGGTGAGCGTTATCGTAGTTCTTTAATGTCATCCTTCTTTTCTTCTCTGTTTCCGTACAAGGTCGTGTTGATTGTTTCATGGAGACTGAAGCTGGTTGCGTGCTTATTTTGTCTTCTTTCTCTGGCCGCCGTCGCCATTTTCTACTGTTGAGTTACGACTTTATAGATTGTACTCGTACTTTTTTTGTATGTCCATTAATTCGTTTCAAGTTCTTTGCTCGTTGATTGTTTAGAGAGAGGGAGGGAGAACGACCAGCTTGGTGAAGAAGACTTGGCTTATTCTCTTATATTTCATGCGCTCTTTAGTTCCTCCTGCTAGGGCCCTGTTGACATCTCTTTTCATGGTTGCCAGCATTTAGGCTCTCCTAGCAATGACTTGTCATACTCTAGCACATCTTTCATTTTTAATCTTGGGGCAAAGCTTCACTCTTTAAGAGATTGTAACTTGTTTTTATGTTGTTATTGACTAAATATATGTTTGTAGCTTCTGATTCTTCTATGGCTGGCACCGCAATTGTGCTGTAGTGGTCACATAGGTCCCATATTTAATAAGGTTTAAAAAGATGACATCGAGACATGAGGCTTTTTGCTAGAATGAGGCGAGGCGTTAGCCATGGCGCAGATAGAAGTTTAATCCTCAAACTATAAGACTACAAAAAACTCATACAACAACAACAACAACAACAACAACAAGGTTGGCTACATGAATCTTTTTTCTCCATTGCATCCTATTTAGAATAAAAAAAAAACTCATAAATTTAAAGTATTTTATAACCATGCTATAATTCATCAACATATTTTTTTTTTGAATGGCATAAAAGAAGAAGAATACAAATCTCAATCTAAAATATTAATTTAAAGTGAAAGCGTGAAATTTTTTATGTCATATATTCAAATCATGATTGAACAAATTTTAAACATATTCAAATATTGTTTGAAATATGATTGATTATGATTAAATAAGGTTCAAATTGTATTTGAACAAGTGTTTGAATTTCATTTGAACCATATTTCATTACAACAACAACAACAACAACAACAAAGCCTTAATCCCACTACGTGGGGTCGGCCACATGAATCCTTTTTCTCCATTGCGTCCTATTTAGTGTCATATTTTCATTTAGTTCTAATAAATTAAGATCATTTTTAATACAATAAGCCCAAGTCTTCCTAGGTCTACCTCTGCCTTTCTTAACACAAGTCGAATCTAAAACATCTACTCTCCTAATCGGATCATCTAATGGTCGACGTTTAATATGACCAAACCATCTAAGACGACTTTCTCTAATTTTGTCTGTCACAGGAGCTACACCAACCCTATCACGAATATATTCATTCCGCATTTTGTCTCTAAGTGTAAAGCCACTCATCCACCTAATCATTCTCAATATAATGAAATATTGAACAATATTTCATTATAATTAAAATTTGATTCGAATAATATTCAAACATGGTTCAAATTATGTACGATAGTGGTTCAAATTAATGCATAAATGATGGTGAAGTTATATGCATTTTAACATTTTTTTTTTTAAATCATTCAACGTCCATGCCTCAACCGCTTTGAGATATGTAGTTTTGAGTAGCACGCCTCAGATAAAAAAAGGTGTAAGCTTCAAATAAGGATAGAGACAGCTTTGAGGTGTTTTTTATTATTGAGACACGCCTTAATAATTTTTTAAACAAGGATATGCAAGTAAGAGGCCGAACAACTCATTCTTTCTCCAGGATGCGTTCCACCTGAACAAATTTAATTTGGTAATGATATTTAATGAGAGTCTCAGGCTAGTTAACATTACTTTAGACCTTGCATAGTTGTTTGTGGCATTGAATTGGATTTTGAACACATAATTCAACATTGCTTCCTCCATATTATTTAATATACTCTTAATTCTAGGGGCGTTGTGGGTGTGGAAGACTCAATAAATTGTCTTTCTTGACTAATGTTCTTGCATTGTTTTCAATGTTAGGCATATAAACGATGACAAAATTTCTCAAAAATTGAGCTTTCAAAGTTGTGTTCGCACTTAATTGCCCAAATCTTACCGAGTTTATCAATCACTCTATCGACATCCTTGAATATTTTACTTTGGGCAGAAAAACCTTCAGGGGTTGTTGCCATTTCTTACACTGTGAACTCAAACATATGTATGTAATCTTCTGATTGTTCATCTCCATATTTATCAAGGATTTGATTGTGTTTTAGAGAGAGAGTTTTTTTTTACTTCACTGACTAGATTCGAGTTGGTGGATGAGCTTCTAACAATGAGATATAACCTCAAAACATCATTTGGTTATGGACTTATTAAAAATGTTGGGGAAGGTAGGCAATTCTTTAGTTCTGCAAAGGCCTTCTGAAAATCTTCTATCCACTAGGATCGTTTGGCCTTCCTTAATGTTTTTAGGAGTGGTACATTCTTCTCTTTGCTTTTGATATAAATTTTACTTAGGCTCAGTAACCTCCTAATTAGCTTCTAGACTTCTTTCTCTGACAGGTGGAAAGACATGTTCATAATCACTTGGATCTTCTTTGGAGTTAGTTTTTATGCCTTTTTGGTGTGGCTAGTAATCGTGGAATTTTGCAATCGAGCCTAGAAATGGCACTTTGCTGAGTTCAATCACATATTGAACTACCATAGCATTGTGATTGTTTCCTCCAATTTCCTCAAGTTCCGCTCCAAAGTTTTGCTCTTTATCAAGTAGTTGTTAAAGTACACTTCAGCATTCACCCACCTTTATATGTTAAAAATTTTTTTTCTATCAACCTCTTGATATGTTGTCCCGATGACTTTTAGTCTAAGCAACATGATCATACAACAAGATATGCTGCCTAAGATGATGAAACCTTTCTTCTTATCATCTATTAGATGCATTTTTTATTTGGTGATGACCTAAGAAGGTGCCAAGTTTAGAGTTGAAAATTTGCGAGGTCGACTAGTGAGTTGATGGTTGGCAGTGGTTTAGAGACCATAGCATTGGTTTGGTTTAGGCATTGGCTACTTGTTATCTCCTTTTTAATTCCCATTTTTCTATTGGAGATCTAGTTATGTATTGAACCTCCCTAATAATTCTAGCTGCAAACATCTTGTTTACTTTTATTTAGATTTGTTACCTCGTTTATATGACCATAAGCATTCTTCGTTGTTTGTCATATTTGATCTTCGGTTAAACATGCAGTCGGTGGCTTGCGACAGAGAGATATCAGCAAGGAACATCTCCAAGGCTTCTTACCAAAAAAAAAATATATCGAATTGGTTTTAAAGTTACCTACATTTGACATGTTGATCTTAAATATGCTTGTCTCATTATCTCATCCTAGAATCTCTATTATTTGTGGGTTGGAGGCCTTCATTGTGCTTTCCACTTGTCTGTAAAATCTTGAACTTAAGGTTTTCTTGAAAGTCTAGGTGCAGACCTTATTACTAAAACTATAACGGGGCTAAAGATGGAATTATATGCAGAAGAGGCCTACATATCTATGGAGTTGATTGAGTGTGTCTCATATGTTCGATTACCTGCCTAAATAACCTACAAGGTTACCATATACCATCATGATCTCTTGCTTTGCCTTAGAAGCTAATAAAGATGTCTCATAGGCCTAAATTTTTTGGAATATACATTAATCTTCTCCATCATTTTACAAGAAGGATGTCTATAAAGCTGCTTAAAACTTTGCATACTCATATAACCTCAAAATTATTGATCATGTTTTTTTGCATGGCCATATTAGTAAAGAGGTTTCATTCCAAGTAAGGTCCTTGTTTGAAATTTTTTTTTGTAGGAGAGTGGATTCAGGTAATAATATATTATTACTCTCAGTGCATTGGAGTCTGACAGGCACAATGAGCCATGACTACCTAACTTTTCTTTTTGCCTATTGTTGTGGTGATGCTAGTGATGGGCTTCGAGCTAGAGAAGCCCAGCTCCCATCTCTATGTTATTGTCCCTCCTTCCCTTAATGGGGAACTCCTTTAACTGGCCTTCCTTTTTTTTATATAAAAAAAATGGCCAGAGGCTATTATACGAGCCTCCACCCACTCCTAATGTGCCTAACAATTCGAGTACCACCTCCTTAAAGGCTCACGTCATCATAGGGGATTCAAACATTGACCTGAGAGGTCTTATACCGAGGATGCCAACCAACATGCCGAGGTACGCGGCACAAACGACCTTCCTTGATCAAAATAGGCATCTTGGTTTTTAGATGTCGACATCCAATGGTGTCAGTTCCATGACCTTATTAGTAGAGATAATATGGCGATCCATCCTTGCTTTTCGCAGGTGTCTCTAGCTTCGTAAACCATTTAAAGTAGTCACATTTCTTGTTGTTTGTTAGCAACTACTTGAGAGAGTAATTAAGAAGGGGAGTCTTTTCGTGCTCGTCAAGCATATTAGTAATTGGAAGAGCTGGCACCTTAGGTGCTTGGGGAGGAATTTTGAAGGGCCCATTTCATGCCCTTTAGGGTGATCTTAGTAATCCCCCAAAATGAACAACATGATTCTGTGGTCTCCTATTAGCTTGGACCATAGTTTGAGCAAGTAAGGTTCCTGATTTTGCACCTCTATAACATTATTATTTTTTTTTGCATAGCCACATTTGGATTGTTGTTGGTAGATAAATAAAAGACAAGCTTTTAATAATTAGAAGATATGTGATAATATGATTTATATTGAAAGTACTGAGGAGCACATGCAAAATATAATGGGCTAGTGAGATCAAAGAAATCTTCTTCATTTCTTTTATTGATCTTGAGAATATATGTGATGGAGTAATACTGAATTTGATTTTGTGCATATTAAGATAGGTTTATGAAATGTATTTTTAAGTTATTGAAGATATATTTGACGGAGTGTTATTAGTAGTAGAATTAGTTTTGGAGTGACTCAGTAGTGATTCAGCATGAAAGCTTTATATAAAAGATCAACATTAAGTCTATAATTAATTTTTTTTTTTGTATTTAATTTGGGGATGAATCCTTTTTATCATTGTCGAAATGAATATATCCGTGATAGAGTTGGTGTAATTCCAATGACAGATAAGATTAGAGAGAGTCGTCTTAGATGATTTGGTCACATTAAACGTCGAACATTTGATGATCCGATTAGAAGAGTAGATGTTTTAGATTTGACTTATGTTAAGAAAGGCTTAGGTAGACCTAGGATGACTTGGGCATATTGTATAAAAAATGATATTGATTTATTAGATAAAAATAAAAATATGATACTAAATAGAACACAGTGGAGAAAAAGGATTCATGTAGCCGACCCCACTTGGTGGGATAAAGGTTTTGTTGTTGTTGTATGGGGATGATTCTTGATGATATTCAGAATGTGGTACCATAATTTATACATTTTTCATGTGACTTAATTTTACAGTGGGATGTTTTTTGAATCAAGCGAAAAGATAGAATAATGAAAGTAGTACTTGGAAGATTCAGTCTTTATCTTTTAGGACTATAAGAACATTGATTTTGTGTATTATCTGTCATTTTAGTCAGCGTAATAGTACCAGTTCTTAAAAAAGAATATTATTAGAAAATAAAAATGATACATAAATATGATATGTTTAACTATATTTCATCTATTATATATAATAATGGGGCTTTAAATGTGGATATAACTTTTGAAGTTACGACCAAGTGATTAAAATGAAGAAATGCAAAAACGGGGCAGGACAAAGCTAACTTGGATAGCAGTGCTATTTTTTTATTTTTATTTTTTTTTTTGTAAAATAGGTTTAGAACCCATGCAACACAACAACAATTAGTAATGGATAACGTTGTATTAGGAGTATGCATAAAAAGGATTCTTCTAACAAGGATGATGGCAATAATGGCATAAAGATTCAATCTTTAGTCTCTCACACTTTTTAATATGGTCATGGATGGACTTTCAATTGATGTTCAAAAGAATGCAACACTCATGAATGCTATTGAGAGCTGACATTCTCCTATTAGGCGGCGACAATTTTAAATTGTGAAGTTAGAATTGCGTAAGATAATCTTTATGTGAGGGGTTTATAATCACTCAACAAAAACTAGATAACAATTACTGATACAAAATTAATTCTTTAGCCTGAAAAATCATGGGTAGAGGCGTAGAGCTACCTCAAAAGGATTATGAAAGAGGAAAGATCAATGCAATGAACTCTTGTGCGCAATCTGTGGCTCCTATAATATGGCTTTCACTACATGACTTCCGATGCATTTTTAGTGTGCCTTCGAATAACAGTTTGGTGCATTTTTTTGCTAAAAATTTATTTAAACAGCGACAATTGCACAAATACATGATCTATTACATTATTAGAACTCGCTGGGTTGAGAAGGAAAAACCACGCTTTAGTTTGGACATCGCTGTCGTGTTTGGAAGTAATGCTTTAAAAGCTTAGACTTTGCCCAATTCATATTAGGGAAATTTAAATACCTAGCACGCAATTCTTATGTATTTACATATCTCAAACCTAAACTCTCATGTTTACATACATGATACTTTGGTGCTTTAAACTTATGCGATGAGTTTTTTATTTCACCTTCAACCGTAATAGTGTTATTTCTTATGTGATATTAAAGATTCAAGCGCTATGAGTGTAAATATGAAATTTTAGATGTGAGATATGTAAAATAAATTAGAATTGTGTGCTATGTATGGAAACGCCCCTTCATATTATCTTCGATGAATGTATGAGATCATTAAAGCTTTCTGTTAATTAATCTCATTTTTTTTTTCAGCGAGAAGTATTTGTCATGGACTGAAATTGCATCATCTCATTGAATAATTTGTTGAAAGATTGATATTCCTAAGCTCGGCTTCATTGATGGAGCTTAGTTTTGATTGTGAAAATGGGAATTTGATCCATGATCTATGGCCACTTGAAGAACTGGATCCGAAGAAAGGAAAGTTTCCTTGCTGCATTGTTTGGACTCCCCTTCCCATTGTCTCATGGCTGGCTCCTTATATCGGACATATTGGAATTTGCCTGGAGGATGGTGCAATTTTGGATTTTGCGGGTTCAAATTTCGTAAATATTGATAATTTTGCATATGGCGGCGTCGCCAAATATCTTCAACTTGACAGGAAAAAGGTGTGATAGAATCTCTCTCTTCTCTTTATTTATCCTGAGAACAATTTAATGATTGAAATTCTTTTTGTAGAAAATTTACATTTTTATGGTTTTTATCACTTGAAACTTTTAGGTTGATGGCTTAAGAGCAAACAAAGAAGAAAAAAAGAAGAAAAAAAAGAAGATTTACATACATACCACTTTGTTCTTATGTATTTATATATCTAACATTTAACTTCAATATTTATATATATATATATATATATATATATATATATATGCAATTATTACTAACATCTTAATTATGCATAAAGAAGGTGTATTTCACTTTGTAAAGAGTAAAATAGTGGTATTATTGATGTGATACGAAATATTTGGGTGGAAAAATAAAGTTTAGGTGTTAGATATGTAAATACACAGGAATTGGATGGTATACATGTAAATGGCCCATTTATATATCCTTAAAACAATTTCATGATTGAAATTTCGTTTAAAGTTTACATTTTTTTGGTTTTATCACTCAAAACTGTTTAGTTTGATTGCTTAAGAGGAAATAAGAAGTAAAATAAAAAAGGAGAATTCAGAAATGAAGTTAATGGATTTGGAAGATTTACATACATACCACTCAATTCCTATGCATTTACATATCTAACACTTAAGCTTCATTTTTTACTTATATGCCAACTTATCTATGCATAAAATGGTGCGTCTTACTCTTATAACTGAAAACAGTGATATTTTTTATGTGATATGAAAGATTTGGATGGTAGAAATGTAAAAAATAAAGTTTAGGTGTTAGATATGTAAATAAATTGGAGTTGGTTGGTATGTATGTAAATGCCCCAATTAAATATGTTGTAATTTCTTCATATTTTTCTCTCAAAAGCCTTCTCGATCCCTGATAATTTGTTGTTCAGTTTCCTTGTGCAAATGTCCAAGCAAAGCTTTCTGAACCCCCCGCATTGTGCTTATCTAAGCTGGCACCTGTCAATTCCTATGTATTTACATATCTAACCCTGAACTTCAAGTTTTACATGCATACCACCTTAACTATGCATGAAAAGGTGTATTCTGCTTTCTAAAAGTTAAAATAGTGGTATTTTTTTTGATGTGATGTGAAAGATCTAGGTGGTATAAATGTAAAAATCAAAATTTATGTGTCAGATATGCAAATACGTAATGTGGTATGTTTGTAAATTCACCTAAAATATTTTCCTGTTTTTTGACAATCAGGTTCAAAACTGATAGAAATTTGCAGGGAAGTGCAATTTTGATATTGTTCCTATCATTTTTTAAAGATTTTGCTGGAGTATCTCATGAGTAAATTGTCAAAATAGTCTCTAGAATATTTACATGGGCCATTTTAGCCCCAGAATTTATAAAAGGGATAATTACATACCGATCACCGAAACATTGATATTTACAAATTAACCTACCATTTGATTTTTTTGAACAACTGAACTGTTGTATTTACGCATGCCACGATCAAACTATTGAGAATTTGATAAATATGCAAAATATGGGTTGGGGTTTTACCATGAAGTTTGATATTTAAGTGAGAATTTGAAAAATGAATGAAAGAGGGAGGTTGATTTGAAAATAGCAAGTTTTGGGTGGAATGTATGCAATTTCCCCTTTATAAAAATGCCAAATTAATCCCAAATTCTTTTAATCGTGGCTAAAGTAGTAATTCCTTGGGGCTATTCGAACCCATATTAGAAGAATCTGGGACTAGGATTAAAATTACCCATACACCTTTTAGTCCCAATGTATATAAAAATGTTAAATTAATACTGAACTTTTTTTAGCGTAGGCTAAAATAGTCTCTTTTAAGGACTATTTGAACTCATATTAAAAGAGTATGGGACTAAATTGAGATTTATAAATTTTAGGATTGAAATTACTCCTCTACAAAGGAGAAAATATTACGTGCGGCAGACCGGACGTCCGGATGCAGCCGCACCACCGTGTCTCGCATGGCGGCCCATCTGGACCGTAGCCGGACACAAATATTTGCTATATTCTGTTGCTTGAACAAATGATCCTTAGTTAATTCTCATAGGAATCTCGAAATCTTTTTTGTTCCTCATTCACCCTTGTTCCTGTAATGGCCGTGCAGTGCTGTTTCCCGGCAAACCTATCGAGCCACTCATGTCGGCAGCCCTACCATCACGCCGAAGGCGGAACGGCATTCTCTTGGGACGACGCGCTAGACTTTTGCATGCATCAATACCAGCACAAATGCTATAATCTATTCACCTGCAACAGCCACTCCTTCGTTTCGAAGTGCCTCAACCGGCTCGCTTACGACGGTCATGTCAGCTGGAACTTACTGAATCTGGTGGTGCTGATCCTTTGGAAGGGACGATGGGTCGATGCGATGTCGGTTTTTCGTTCGTTCTTCCCCTTTGCCGTCGTAGTCTGCATTGGAATCTTAATGGCTGGCTGGCCATTTCTGGTTGGGATGGCTTCTTTCTCAGTTCTTCTGATTGGGTGGTTCCGGTTAGGAACATACTGTGTGAAGAGTCTGCTGGACTGATTGCTCAGGCAGCCATGAATGGTAAACTGTTAATATTCTGAAGAAAGCTTTACATGCATACCACTTAATTCCTATGTCATATTTACCAATGCATGAAAATGTAAAAAAAGTGTAAAAAATAGTCTCCTGACTCTTTACATGAAGAAAATATTACATATTTTGTATGTATGTACTGATAACGGTGGATGAGAAGACCATGCCACACCTAAGTCAAATTATGATGATGTGACCACTTCATCCATCATTGTCCGCATATACTTACAAAATATGTAATATTTTCTTTTTTACATTGGACCTGTTTTAGACGTTAGAGTTTATAAAACTAATTCAGTCTCTATAATTATTTAATATGGGTTGAAAAAGACTCGAGTGAGGATTGTTTTGGCCTCCATTAACATTATTTGAGGACTAATTTAGCATGTTTTTAAACTCTGAGACTAAAATAATCCAATGCAAATAGTCAGGGACTATTTTGGCACTTAACTCCATAAAAATGTTTACTTTACTTTTTTAGAAATTACAATAGTGTTATTTTTGATGTGATATGAAAGATTTGGGTGGTATAATTGTTAAAATAAAATTTTAGAGGGGACATATGCAAATGCATCGGAGTTGGGTGGTATTTATGTAAATGCATTGTTTGAATATTTGTCCCTTAGAATCTATATTTCAACAAGAGTGTAATTCTTGATGTAAAGGCTCAACTCATTGTTGGGAAGGTCTGTTTGGTTGTAAGATTTAAACTAAATATTGTGAAATTTTTAGAGCTACATATATTGCACTGCATTCTTTAATTTCTTGCTTATATTTTTCTGTTAAATCATTAATTTAGTAAATATTAAGAGATTTATACTACTAATTTAGATCTTATCAAAGTTTTACATAGATGCCACTTACTTCCGATGTATTTAGATATCTAGCACCTATACTTCAGTTTTTACATATATGCCACTCTACCTGTGCGAGAAAATTTGTATTTTATAGTATTTTTTAATGTAATATGAAAGATGTGAATGGTATCAATGTAAAAAAGTAAAATTTCGGTGTTACACATGGAAATGCATGGGAATTGGGTGGTATGTATGTAAATGTCTCCAATAATTTATTAGGATTTAATGAAGTTAATTTCTATAATACTTAATTTATTAAATCCTATTTGTTATTACATTTATGGGGGAAAAATTGAATTTTTCAATGGAATCCTGAGCTGAAAAGATTTTGAGCTCCACCGCTGATGTCACGGGAGGCGGTGATTGCCATGAATGAGATTGTGCGAAGCTTTCTCCATTGAAAAACAGAGTTTTTTTTTTCAGATCAGACAAAGTTCAGGCCTTTCTTTTCTTGGAACGAAGGGCAGGTCACAAACCCTAGCAGTGATTCAACGAAGTTTTAGAGGATTTTTGAATTGTGCTCTTCGGTGGAGAGCTCGCCGGCGGCATTGAGGTTTCCGATGAACTCAGTGGACAGTAAAAAGATTTTTAGAAGGCATTTACATACTTAAAAGTGAAGATTCTTATGTATTTACATATCTAACACCGAAATTTTCATATTTCCATTAAAATCTTTAGCATCACATCTCTTATAAGTGAAGTTGATGACGCCAATGTAACTTTGGAGGTTATATATGTAAATACATGAGAACTGTGTGGCATGCTTGTAAAATTTTCTTTTTTAAGTACAGTTAGTTAGATTTGCTGAAGAACTGTAGCGCATTATAAGCCACAAGTTATTCTGCTGTACGGCGCTACGCCTGCCACAAATCTACAGAAGCAATATCTATCCACCTGTAAAAAAATTATTAAAAATAAACAAAAAATAATAGAAAGAATTAAGAAATTGTTTCCGAAATCGCTGGAAGTTGCAGAGAGGAGATAAAAGAGAGAAATTGTTTCTCTAATGCCGGGCAGCATTCAAGTCTCAGGTAGTATATTGCAGCTTTCTTTATTTGTTTTAGCAGAAAGCGAAGAACTTGATTCAGATTGCGTGCAGTTCTTGGGTTTATGGATCATGCGTCTGCTCCTCCCCTCAGTTCCCTTTCGTTAAGGGGTGAGTCAATTTACTGTATTCTTCTTTGTTCTTTTATTTTTCTTTTTTTTTTTAATTTTTTTTGAAGAAAATTTACATAGATACCACAATTTTTATGTATTTACATATCTAACACCCAAAATTTGCTTTTTATACTTATAACACATTGGTGTAATAAATCTATGGATGAAAACATAGTTATTTGATTTGTTTTCCACAGTTTCTATGGGGAAGGAGGAGTATCGAACTGTGGGGGGTGGAGAATTGTCTCTGTGAGTGAGCTTCTTTCACATTATTCGTGGAAGATAAACCAAATAAGGAATTGCATTCTTTTGCTGCCAATTTTTTTTTTAAAGTTATAATTACATACAAAACACCCAAAACATTAATATTTACAAATTAATCACCCAAGGAATTTTTTTGAACTACCAATCCGATGTATTTATGCGCAGATTTGATAAAAATGAAGAATATGAATTAGGGTTTTACCATGAATTTTGATATTTTAGTGAAAATTTGAAAAGTGGATGAAAGAGGGTGGTTGATTCGTAAATAGCAAGTTTCTGGTGCTATGTATGTAATTGCCTCATTCTTTAAAATTTTTAATTTTTAATTTTATTTTGCTGAAGTTGAGGTTTTGCAGTTTAGGTTTCAATTTTCCTTGGATACCTCTTTTAATATTGATTTACTATTATGACATAGAGGAAGAAAGAGATTAATGGTTGTTGTAGCTAAAGAATTTAGGTTTGCATAAAGTTAGAGTTGTATGGAATTTTCCTTGGACAATGCAAGAGGGAAAATTTATGATGCCTTGCCATGATGTATAGTTCCATTATTTGTGTGAATGAGTATAAAATTAAGGGATTTTTTTACATACATACCGCATAATTCTTATATATTTACATGTCTAACATTTAAATTTTGATATTTAGATGCTTGCCACTCAAATTTTTAACATCACATAAAAAATACCTATCTTACAAACTTTTTAAAAGTGAAATATACCTTTTCATCTATAGCTTTATAATACCAAAGTGAAAATTTTGATGACTTGATACTTGCTAGTGAGAAGAACATTAGTTGTCGACAATCTATTATTTGACAATCTATTCTTTTACAATCGTTACTTTGTGCCAGACAAGAAAGATGCTTGCTCGAGCTTGCGAGGTAGGTTTTGATTCAGTCTTGGTTGGGCAAGCTTGGACTTGCTTGGGATGATTCGAAGTTTTTCAAACCCTCGTTTGATTTGTTTAAGCATCCATACACCTAGCGCAACACTTAATATTTTGTTTAGGGCTTTATTACACTATCTAAGATCATTTAAGTGTTGATTTAGTTGAACTAACTATAATTGAACTTAAAATTAAATTTTTTGCCCAATTTTGGCTTATTTTGTATTTCTTTAATTTTAATTAGGATTATTTTCTATTAGAAACATATTTATGTGTTGTTTTTTCTGTTTTGACGAATTTCAACTACTGTTTTTGTGTTTTGGAGACTTTATTCTCTGATTTTCTACTCTATGGCGTTGCATCATTTGTCTTTTATAAGTGGTGTGTTTGTATCTTGCTCAGGAACAGGTGGTGGATTCTGCTTAGCAATTGTGCCTCGTCGAAATCGGTATTTTGTGGTTTCCTTCGTTGTTTTTAGATCGAAAATAGCAGAACGCTGTCTATCCCCTTCCAAACGCCATCAACCTCTCATATTCTCATTCACTTGTCATTCCACAACCACCTCCTCACTAAATTCACTTATTAAACACTTTTTAGAAGCTCTTGAACGTTATCATCTGTTATCATAACCCAACAAACTAAATTATTATAAAACCTAATCTAATGCCCACAAAAAAAAAAAAAAAATCACATCATCCCCGTAGCCTAAATTTGACCCACCCTGACCCTTAATTATAATTCTTTTTCAGCCAAAATATTAATTGGAATAATGAAATCCCCGGTCAGCAATCCGTGAATTGCATCATCAAAAAAAATCCTACTGGTTGATTACATCTTGGGGGATACCCAAGAATACTTTCGATAAAAAGAGTCTCGCTTCATATTATCATAAATCTGGGGTATAGGCAATCAAAGGAAGATTATTCCGTGTGGGAACAGTCCCAATAATCCTATGACTACAAGCTGGAGCTCCAAGGGGTGAGACTTATACCTGCCGAAATAACAAGGATGCCTCAAGAAAGAAAGAGAAAGTTGAGGTTCAGCTACAAAACTAGAAACGCTCCAAACAAAAGAACTTACACCCCGTCTGGGTCGGGGAGCCTTCTAACATCCTAAGCGCACTATTGTTTTTTCAAGTGCAAATGCAAGGTGTAGAGTGCAGGTGCAAGTGAAAAAAAAAATCTGCTACAAGACTCTCCTAAACTCTAAAAAAAATACATAGAGAAAAGAAAAAGACTCAATCCTGTATGAAAATAAGTATCGGCGGGAAAACTCACATACACACAACGTAGCATGAGTCATGCCTTAAAAAGAAAAAAACTCAATCCTGTATGAAAACAAGTATCAGCGGGAAAACTCACATGCACACAACGTAGCATGAGTCATGCCTTAAAAGTGGGGGAAGCTAAAATAGTTATGCCGGTAAGGTAGTGACCTAAAGATAGGCATGTCGTGATGGCAGCGACCCGAAAAGAGGGTATGTCGGTAAGGCAGTGACCCGAAGGAATCCAACTAAAGTAGATAATATCAATCATGCAGACAAACATATACATGCACATACACAACATGTAAATGAGCAAGTGGTAGGTTAGGTCGATCGGGATGGAGCAGATGGAGCATCCGGTCAAACCAAAGTGTTGTGTCAACCGGGCCGGGGTAGCCAGCTGAAACACAAGTGATGTGACCGGTTCGAGATAACCGACCGAGGCACAAGTGCTGTCAGTGCAGGTGCAAGTGCAAGTGTAATGTGTAAATGAAAAAAAAATCTTGTAATAGAAATAAGATACGGGCACGGGTTCCAAGACATTAGTATGGAAACCACGTGGAGGGGACCAGGAGCAGATGCTCGTGCCCTGTATCTTAATTCTGTATTTTTATATTGATGTATAGAATATTGATGTATAGTAGAATTAAGACCGGACATGTATATGCGGAGTTCGACCGCCTTTTTCTTTTCTGGTCCTGAAATCCCCGGTCAACAATCCGTGAATTGCGTCATTCATGGGAACCTCGGTAGCCCTAAGGTCAAAGGAAGGAAATTCTATTCTACGAGTACAAATTAGAGCTCCAAGAGGTGGGACTTATACCTGCCGAAATAGCAAGGATGTCTCAGGAAAGAAAGAGAAAATGAAGGTTCAGCTATAAAGCTAGAAACGCTCCAAACTGCTGTCAAGGAGAAAACCTCAACGAGATGTTCATGAACTTACAATGAAGAATGTTTAGTGAGAAATCCTTCAACTACAATAAATATTTGTCATCTTTAAGAGGAGACAACTAAGATCACTCATAGTAGGATAATGACTTACTAGATTGAGAGGGAAATAAATTCCTTTCACTATAAAGTTTCGAGTGACGAAGAGCCAATACACCGACGACTTGACATAGAATATTAAGGTGAAGAATAAGATTTTTGAATGAAGATTGACTTGTCGGATTTTGGCGTACTTTTGGGTTCAGATGAATTCATTGAGTGACTCCAAACAATAGAATAATTTTATTAGTATACATAAGGTCATTAGGGCAAAAGAGTTAAATTGTCAGTCATCAAGTTTAGAAAAAATGCTCGTTGTGGTGGGAGACCCTAAGTTTGTCAGTGGGAAGGAAAGTAAGATCGTCACATAATCTTAGATGAAAATTGAGATGCAACACAATTATTTTCCCCATATTATAGATATGAAATGTTTATTAAATTTTATAACCTACGCCGGAGAGATTTTTCTGTGGCATACAAAGTTGAATTTGATCAGCTTATGCTGTCATGTGAGTGGGGGGAATCAGAGGAGTACATAATGACAATGCATCTTAAAAGACTAAGGTCATCTACTAGTAATGTGGTGCAGCTATAGCTATATTGGTCTATAATCTATGTACAGACCCTAGCTTTAAAGGTGGAGAAGTATCAACATTACCAAATGACCACCACACGCAAGAGTACACCCATTGGAGGACTCATGCTGACCCTGCCCAAAGAGAAACCTATTTAGAGTAGAGAAAAGGTAGAGATCGCTAACACTCTCATATTCGTACCAGACAACGCAAGAGTACACCCATTGAAGGACCCATGCTGACCCTGCCCAAAGAGAAACCTATTTAGAGTAGAGAAAAGGTGGAGATCGCTAACACTCTCATATTCGTACCAGACAAGAAGTGCTTCAAATGCAACGCTTTTGGATACATTCCATCTGATTGCCTGAACAGACGGTGATTTCTTTCACTGAATAGTGAGTAATTTAAGAAATTGACAGCGACATAGGAGAAAATGAGGATGTCCTAGATGAGTATCAACTTTCTGCTAATGAGGGAGATATGCTAGTTTTTCTACATATTCTTCAGGTTGGACCCATGAAAAAGCTATAGTGGCTTCGTCACAACATCTTTCATATTGCACTGTGAAGTAAAATATGTGCAGTTTTATCACTGACGCATACAATTGTGGGAATGTGGTGTCTATCCAAACAATTAACAAGTTGAACTTGACCAAATAGAAGCAAACACAATTTTATTCTTTTTTTTTTTAGTTGAAGAAAGGAAAGAAGATCATAGAAGACATGTGATTTGTCACTACTCGGCTCGGTGCTTAGAATTAACTAAGACGGGAATAATGATCAAACGGTAGTAATATTTAACTAATCATATTTTGAAAACTTTCAATACATATAAAAGAGTCACTAATCCACAAAATACAATAAATCTAAAGTATACAGAAACAATAACATCTCAAGCCAGTACAAAACAGTATATCAATATCTGAAAGAAACAATAAAAACAATTTATCATCGTAACAAACATATTTAGCAGCAGTGGTCATCATCTTGAAACAAGGTCCCTCCTATCAGACATATCAACCTAAAATTTTTCATCTCCTAAAAAAAAACATTTACTTTAACTGTAAGTTTGACTTGGTGAGTAATTATAATCTAATATGGATTAAATTTCTTAGCTATGCTATGTATAAATGACCAGAAGAAAATACATTTCATTTTTTTAAAACTTTAAAGTTATCCCTTTTTGTTTTACATTTAAGTATTTACCAATTTAACCTCTTTAATAATCACCACAGAATTAAAGTCATTCTCAAAGGTATCCTCAAAGGAGCACGGGCGCATAACCCCTTCCTTTCTATGTACAGCAGCAAGGATCGCTTTGCCAACTTCGACACCCTTTCTCTTCTTCTTCCTGTATGTGGACAAAGCTGCAAGAAATCAAGTGGATTTAACAAAAAAAATTTTGAAAAATTTTGTCTCATATTTTAATTCTGATAGAAATGGCTATCAACATCCAAAAAACTAGCCATAAGAGGAGGGTCTAAAGATGAGTAATTCATGAACTAGTGGAGTTTTAAGTGCACAAGTATATGGTGGGCCCTTTTATGTGGGGAAAATGAGCAATCTTGAGCTATGCTTCTTATGTGATCTGAGTCATCTTGATTTGCCTTTATTTTAGTTGTGTGCGACCATTCAAACCCTAGTTCAAATGGTTCAACCGGCCATGAACTTGATGTTATGATAAAGGATTGATCGCGTTATTTTAAGATTATCTAGGCGTCAAATTAGTTAAATTGAAGCGCAATCCGGACCTTCATTGTTGTCATGAGATTGGCACCGTGTATAAAGTTGTGATTGATTATATAGGAATGATCCTAACAACAATCAAACAGGAAAACATAATTATTCACGTTCCATTTCTATGTATATTTCGTGATTAATTCTAGGGGCATTTTCATGCATAGCACCCGAAACATTGCTATTTACAAATCTAGCACCCTCATTCATCCATTTTTCATATTCTCACCCAAATATCAAACTTCATGATTCAATCCAAACTCATATTTTTCATTTTTCTCAAAATTTCAATAGTTTGATCGTGGCACGCATACATACATCGTTTCAAAAGTAACACTAGGGTGCCACACTTTGTAAATAGCGATGTTTCGGGTGCTATGTATATAATTATCTCTCAATTCTATTGTGATATTTCTTATATTCTTGTATAATAAACCATTTTATGGTGCAGCCCAGTGGTGTCTCTTCGAGAGAATCTAATTGTGATGGTTCATGATGCCGAGGGAGAAGAGATTTTGAGAACAGGTTTTTGTCTCACTAAAGAGTTGAAATTTCATGGTTGAAAATTAGTTTTGAAGTTATGAAAAATAGTTTAGAATTTCTTATCAGAATTCATAACAATGCTGTTGCTCGAACGGGGGCTTTGGGATGACTCATTTCCTCTTAAGAATGGTGGATCTCTCCAGATGAAGCTGCAGTTTTTGCTCAGCGAAGATGATCGAAAGCGGATTCGAGAAATGGTATATTATCCTTATTTTTTAGGGGTATTTATGTGCATATCCCATATTCTTATGTATTTACAAATCTTACAACTAAACATTCATACTTACATGCATACCTCTCAAATCTTTAACATCATGTCAAAAGTAAAGCACTATTTTCTTAAAAGTGAAATACATCTTTTCATGCATGAATTTATGACACCAAAGTATTATAAGTGTAAATATAGAACTTTGGGTGTTAGAAATGTAAATACATAAGATTTGTGTGGTATGTATGTAAATTTCTTTTTTTTTTTTTTTTGTGTAAAGCTACTCCCCAAATCCCACATTCTTGTGTAAAGGAATCCATGCTTCTTTAATTACTTTTAGAGGGATGCTGCACTAAAAAAGAGATGCGTGGAGAAGCCCAGAATCAGGCATAGGAGGTCCTTTTCTGGTAATGTTACGTTAATTTTTTGGGGCATTTTACACACATACCACCCAATTCTTATATATTTACATATCTAAAACCTAATCTTTGCTTTTTACATTTATACCACCCAAATTTTTCATATCATATAAAAAATACAATTTTTTAAAATTTTAAAATGTGAAATACTCTTTATTATGCAGGTAAGGTGGTATGCATGTAAAAATTGAAATTTAGGTGTTAAAAATGTAAATACATTGGAATTGTGTGGTATGTATGTAAATATTCTTATTTATTTATGTTCTACTGAAATATTACTGCTTTCACTTTTAAAATGTTTTAACTCTGAATGTTCAGACAACAGAATTGGTTACTCACCTACAAAAAGAATTGCTGAAAGTGTTTCTGAAGGAATGCTATTGGATCATTCAGTGTTAGCTGAGCCAGTTAAGCTTTCTCCACCTGCAAGATTTCCTATTTTGCATAAAAAAAATTTAATTTTACAGAAATTTAGATGGTTGTCACTTAACAAGTCAACTTGTGTGTGTTTTTTTGATATGGTTGCCTTTGCTCCTATCTTTATCACTTAACTCTTATTTATTGGGGACATTTGCATACATACCGCCCAATTCCTATGGATTTACATACCTAACACCTAAATTTTACATTATAAACTATTTTTACTTTTAAAAAGTGAATTACATCTTTTTCATGTATTGGCAAGGCGGTATATATGTAAAAATTGCAGTTTAGTTATTAGATATGTAAATACATAGGAATTGAGTGCTATGCATGTAAATTTTCCTTTTCTTTTTTGTGATGTCTGGTACAATCTTAAGTTCTCAGAAATATTAACAAAAGTAGCAGTTCTAAAATAATTCAAAATAAAGCCTTGAATAACAATGTACTGAAAATGATAAGTTTGTTTGAGAGTTATGTATGCTAAATTTCCTTGGGGGCATTTACATGCATGCCACCCAATTCCTATATATTTACATATCTAACAGACAAACTTTATTTTTTACATTTGTACTACCCAAATGTTTCATATCACATCGAAAATATCATTATTTTAACTTTCAAAAATTAAAACACATCTTTTCATGCATAGGTAACGGACGTAGTATATCTGTAAAAATTTAACTTTTAGAAGTCAGATATCTAAATACATAGGAAGTAAGCGGCATTTATGTAAATCTTCCATTTTTTAGTGGTGCTTGTCAACTTTACAGCTTCTAAGTCCAAATTTGTTGCAGATAGTTGAACCTTCTTCTGCTGAACAAAGAGAAAAGCTTCCTGCAGACATTACAGGAGAAAAAGATTCAAGTAATTTAAACTCTCCCCAAACCATTTCAAAATCATTTTCTGTAGGAATTTTTTCAGATATCAGTTCAGAAGGAAAATCAATGTTTCTAAAAGAGCCAATTTTTCTCAAAAAGACACACAATTCTATCCCTGCAATGCATTATGAAACTCCAAGAAACAAGGATTTTAAAGATGCAGGCCCTCTTCATTCTGCAAAGTTTGGTAGTTATGTATTAGTGGATAATGGTTCTAATACTATTGGTTCTGAAAAATCTACTAGTGAGAGAAAAGAATTCGCCTCTGTCGTTGTTCGGAAAGGCTCTTCCATCTTACCCATAATACGAAATTTTGAAACTAGTAGAGTGGAGGGAGATCTGAATCTTATTCGAAAGGAGGACAGCGGCGGTGGCGGCTTAGGTTCCAATGTGACATCAAAGGAAAGTTTTTCATCGCACGGTAGCACAGATATAACTTGTAAGAAGCGCAATGCTAAAACTATGACCGGTGATGGAATCAAAACTTCCTATGAAGGAGTCGAAAGAAAGATCAACACGGTGGATGACGATGACAACGAATACAGTAATGAAGAACATAATCTTAGGAACGGACCTCTTCCTTCAACGAAATTGCTTGAGAACTTGGGGAGGTTGGAAGAAGTTGTTGGAACAGAGAGGGATGAAAATATGTTGGAGAGACCTTTGAATGAACAGATTGGAAGAGCTGAACACACTACAGCAGGTAAGAAGCACAATTGTAGAATTTCTTCTGAAGGATCCGACGATGATGATAAAGAAAATGAAGATGAAAGTCTTGGGGGAGAATATCTTCCAAACGAGCAGGGGACATTAGTAAAAGTTGCTGAAACATTGAAAAATGACGAAATTGCTTTACAGAGTCCTTCAAATGAAATTGTGGAAGCATTAAATTCGTGTTTTGACTGGGTATGTCCGATTGGAATTCTGGGAATCTGGACTCCGCGGCGTCTTTGTGTTACTACGGGGAGTAAACTGTTAAGAGAGATTGCTGAAATATATGGATGTTCATCCATGCAAGAAGATGACACTAAGGTTCGTTTTTCGTTTTCCTTAGCAAAAGCGTATCTGGCTTCTTATGGCAATTTTTCTCTCTCTTTATCTTTCTTTTTCTGAAATGTTTTAGCGCACATCAAGAGTTGGATAAGAACGAAATTTTTTAGTTATATTTAAAGTTTTTGGTAATTAAACGACAACTACAACAACAAGCCTTTATCCCATTAAGTGGGGTTGGCTACATGAATCCTTTTTCTCTATTATGTCCTATTGAGTGTCAAATTTTCATTTAATACTAATATATTTAGATCCTTTTTATACAATATGCCTAGCCTTTTTTAATACTACTTCTACCTTTCTTAACATAAGTCTAATCTAAAACATCTACTCTCCTAACCGGATCATCAGACGGTCGACGTTTAATGTGACCAAACCATCTAAGATGACTCTCTATAATGTTATCTGTCACTAGAGCTACACCAACCCTTTCATGGATAGATTCAATGAGTGTTCGATAAGAGCGCTCATAACTAAAGCAAAAAAGAAATGGGCTTTAGCCGTTTCCGAATGTAATCCAACTAAAATAGGGAAATATTTGGTCACCCCTCCTGTTTGAACACAAGTTCTGGGTGATTGGTACGTAAAAATACTAATTTTCTATGCGTGCTCGTCTTATAATTTCTTCTTTTGGTTGTTGTGAGTCATATAGGTTTAGCTCAAAAGATTAGCAGTGGTTTTACATACATACCACACAATCCATACGTATTTACATATCTAACAGCTAAACTTTAATTTTTACATACATGCCTCCTGACCTATGCATGAAAAGATGTATTTCACATTTTAAAAGTTTAAAACAATAGTATTTTTTACATGATATGAAAGATTTGGGTGGCATAAATGTAAAAAATCAAAGTATTGGTGTTAGCTATGTAAATGCATTGGAGTTAGGCGGTGTCTAAGTATATGCCAGGGGTATCATGTTATAATTAGTATAAACACCTAATCGATATATTTCATTCAAGTTTGAGTATATGATACTTTTTTTGGCTTGGGTTTACATATCTATTTACATATATAATGCCTATACTTTAGTTTGTATATTTATACCTCCCAAATCTCTCATATCAACTTTAATATTTATGTTTATACCACCCAAATCTTTCATATCAAGACTTATCAAGACTTTTCTAAAAGTATTTATTGTTTTCTTTTGCATTAATGGACTAGCTTCATTTAGAAATTTGATACATTCAACAGAAAGATGGAGATGCATAGTTACATGACAATGAATGCAAGGTTCAAATGGAAGCTTGATTGAGCAGGTAACATTCTCTTCTGCAGTTTTTATTGGTAGTTAGAGGGAAATTTATACACAGCAGCACACAACTCTTATGTAATTACATAATCTCACACGTAAATTTTCATATTTACATAAATAGCATTTTGGTGCTTTAAACCTATGGATGAAAAGGTGTGTATTTCACTTTTAAAAAGTCATGATATTACTATCTTTTATGTGATTAAAGATTTGAGTGTGGTTATGTGTAAATATGAAAGTTTTAGTGCGAGATATGTAAATACATAAGAAATGTGTGCTATATATGTAAATGCCCATCTTTTGGTCTGTCTATGTGGACTTGTAAATCCGAAACAAAATAATTTGTTTTAGCCTAAGGATGAAAAATCCACTTGTTCTATTTTGTTTATTGTCTATTTACATGCATACCACCCAATTCATACATTTTTACATATCTAACATTTAAACTTTATATTTTTACATTGATGCCGCCCAAATCTTTCATATCACTTAAAAAATATTAGTATTTTAACTTTTAGAAGGTGAAATACACCTTTTCATGCATAAGTGAGTGCATATTTCTGCAAAAATTGAAGTTTAGGTGTTAGATATGTAAATACATAGTATTTACTTGGTATATATGTAAATTTTCTTTTTCTATTTCATTTGTATGTTTCCCAAAATCTACTGATATCATTGAATCCTCTTTTGTAGGGCTGTCAAAACGGCTCGTTGTTGTTGGGCTTGTTAAGAAGCTCGTGTTCGGCTCGTTCGCTAAGTTAACAAGCCGAACACGAACAACACGAACAAATATTTGTTCGTTCGTGTTCGGCTCGTTTTGGCTCGAAATACTTCGTCAATTTTATATATATATATTAATGAAGAATATAGAATAAAAATTATTAATTTACATTTAAATGATGTTTTAAATCTTGTCTCAATCTTTAACATTATATGGCTACGTGATTAGGGTTGTCAAAATGACTATTTGTTCGTGAACGGCTTGTGTTCGGCCCTGTTTTGAGCTCGAAATATAAACGAGCCGAATACGAGCGAGTCTCGTTTACGCCCCTACTCGTTTCAGGGAGTGTGGATTTGTTTTATAAGAGTTGCCTGCGGATTACTTCTTAAGGGTTTATGATCAAAGCTATCATTAACCAACTCAGCAGATATCATTCCTATGTATTTACATATCTAACACCTAAACTTATTTGCACCTTCACATATGCATAAATATATGCATTGTATTTTTAAAAAGTTAAAATAGTAATATATATATATTTTTTTTAATGTGATATGAAAGATTTCGGTGGTATAAATATATAGAAGATAACGTTTAGATGTTAGATATGTAAATACGTGGGAATTTGGTGGTATTTATGTAAATGGCCCCAAGAAAAAATTGAGCCGTGATTTTGTCAAGTTGGTAGTATAGGTGCGAGCTTGAGCGAGCTTAATTGTTGTTATGCTCAGATTGTTAAGCGAGCGACACGACCACACACACGAGCGTAATTGTTGTTATGTTCAGATAGTTGAGCTAACGACGCACCCGCGCGTGCGCTTGCACAGGCACCCGAGCTTATTTGTTGATCTGCTCAGGTTGTTGTGCGAGTGTGCGTGCGCCTGCTCGTGCACGCCCCTAGTTGAAATAAAATACTTGTTATTTATGTAATATATTCTGTAAAGGTTTTACTGGAATTCTTGTCGTAGCTTTGTGATGTATTTCTGATGAGATCTGCTTACATAAATTATTATTATTATCTCTTTTATAGTATAAATACGTGATAATTATTTTTTTAATCCTAAGATAATAAATCTTGGCATGGAGCCTTAGGGCCCATGGGACAGCATTATTTGTGCAGTGGCGTTTCGAAAACACATTTGACATGTTTGGGTAAGCTGTGTTTTGACAACTTATGCGTTTTCAAAATGCCGAAAATTGTGTTTTCACACCACACTAGTCTAGATGTGGTGGCAGCTTTCTGACAGCGGTCTAGCTTTTTCAAAAAAAAATAAAAAGCTTTAATAGTCATCGCACTTGTTTATCAGTAGATTATTTTTAATCAGCTTATCAGCAGATTATTCAATATGCTGCAGCTGCCACAAACAGATCTTAGACAATTGTTATATTTTTGTTTAGGTATTATTTTTGTTGGGCATTTACATACATATCACCCAATTTTTATGAATTTATGTTTCTAACACAAATTTACTTTTTACAATTGTACCACCCAATTTTTTCATCTCGCATAAAAATATCATGTTCATTTATTAAAAAATGAAATACATATTTTCATGCATAGATATTTTGTATGAATATTTGATGCATAATATAAAGATAATTTAATTAATATGTGAATTTGTATTTCTAACACAATTTTGCTTTTTTACATTTATACGACCCATTTTTCTTCTTAGAAAATTTTGCACTAATATAGTGAAATTTATTGTCATAGTTTAGTATGAGTATTTCATGTATATGTTAATAAATAAGAGTTGTGAGAGATTCAAATGTTTTTCAGGATGAAATTTTGAAAAATAGAAGATCATAGGATTTGATCCAGTAGAAATGATTTTTGAATAATTACATGTATATCACATAAAATGTTGTTATTTACAAATTAGTAACTTTGGTGCTTCTTTTGAACTACCGAACTATTTATGCATGTAAAGATTAAATTGTTAAGAATTTGATAAAAATGATAATATGGCTTGACAAAAAAACTCATTGTTCGCAAATAGCTCGTGTGCGGCTCGTTCAGTAACTTGTGTTTAGCTCGTTTGTTAAATAAACGAGCTGAATACAAATAAGTTTTTAAAGCTCTAATTATAAATAAGCCGAATAGAAATAGCTCTTTGTTCGCTCGTGTTCGGCCTGTTTTAGCTTGAAATCAAAAATATATATAATTATTTATATAATAATATATTACATATACTTATATTTAAGTTTAAATAATAGCACATGTGGTTAGTGTCTTCTTTTGCATGTATTTAATCCAGGTTCGAATCCAACATTTTACATCTATTTTTTTCAATTTAATTATAACGAATCAATTTCGAGCCGAACACGAACACACTGTGCACGGCCGATTTCGAACATGAGCAGTTTCGAACGAGCCGGCTTGAGGTTCTATCATGAATTTTGATATTTGAGTGATAATTTGAAAAATGGATGAAAGGGGTGATTAATTTGTAAATAGCAAATTCCTGGTGTTCTTTATGTAATTGCCCCCATACTTTTAATAACGCATATAGTTGGTTAAAAATGATGTCTTTTTTGGCAATTGGGAAAATGTTGATTCAATATGATACGCAAATTGTAGACGATGACTTTAGCGTTGAAAGATTAAAGAAAGTATTTACGATGTGCCTCATTATTCTCATTTGACGAGAAAAGATCAAAGATCGAGTAGGATGTTGGTGTTAGTGAAGAGAAAATCTTATATTTGGAGAACGTGCCGTGTGAATTCCAATAACATAACGTCATTTGTGAAGTGGTGGAATTGAGTTTTCACGTATTAAAAGAATATATAAAAAAAAAAAAATTATGTTTTCATGTGACCCGTCCCAAAGACTGTCTGGTGGTTTTCTGGTGATATTATGGTAGTATTTTAGTGATATTATGCTGATATTTTGGTGGTATAATTGTAGTATTCTTGTGATATTTTGGTGGTACTTTGATGGTATTCTAGGATATTTTGGTGGTATTATTGTTGTATTTTGATGATATTCTGGTGCTATTATGATAGTATTTTGGTGGTAGCAGAATACCGTCAGAAAAACCGTCTGATAGTATTCTTCTGATATTATGGTTTTACTTTGATGGTATTATGATGATATAATGATAGTAATTTGGTGATATTCTGACAATATTCTTGTGGTATTTAGGTGGTAATATTGTGTTATTTTTGTGATATTTTTGTGGTATTTTGGTATACCAACAGAATACAAAAAAAGAGCATTTGGTGGTATTCTGGTGATATTATGGTGGTATTTTGGTGATATTGTGATGGTGTTATGGTGGTAATTTGGTGGTATTCTCACAGTATTTTTGTGGTATTTTGATAATATTTTGACGTTATTGTGATGTTATTTTGGTGATATTTGGTAGTATTTTTGTATACCAACAAAATATCACAAAAATATCATCATAATGTCATAAAAAAAACACCAGAATATCATCATAATATCACTAGAATACAACAATAATGTCATAAGGATACCATCAAAATATTATTAGAATATCACCAAAATACCAACAAAATATCACAAAAATACCATAATAATATTACTTGAATACCCCGATTATATTATTATAATATCACAAGAATATCACTAGTATGCTATCATAATACAACTAAAATATCAGGATAATATCACCAAAATACCACGAGAATATCACAATCATATTACTATGAAATCACCATAATATCACAAGACTACCACTATAATATCACTAGAATGTTCTAGCCGTCCTTATCTACTTGCCGCCCTCTCTCTTGTCAATTCCAGCAACTCGTAGCCTTCCCAGCCACGCTTACCATCCTTAGCTGCTATCTACTTGTTGTCCAACCGCCCCATACCTACTGTCATCCATAAATTACAGCCTCAAAACCCCCTTAATGTTGCTCTGACCGATCACCACTCCTCTGGATCAGACCCCAATTTGGGTTTGTGTGTCATGCTTATTTTTATTTTCAATTTAGTGTGTTTGGTTGTAATACTCTTTTTGCTTTTCAATAATAATATTTTCTCTTTTATTATTATTTGCGTTAACTTGGGTATATCATCATAATATCGCAAGAATACCATAAGAATATCGTCAAAATAGCATCATAATACTACCATAATATCATCACAATATCCCATAGAGGTCTTCAGGCTAGGTCGTGTGAAAAAATAGGTTTTTTCATATTTTTTTAATTCATAAAAATTCAGTCCCTCTACTTTACAAATAGTGATGGATTGTGTCCCCACCACAAAAAAAAAGGATGACATTTACATACGTACCGCCTAGTTCTCATGTATTATGGTATCTGCAACCTAGACTTTGCTTTGAACATTTATACCTCCCAAATATTTCATATCACATGAATGATATCACAAAAGACTTTTAAAAAGAGAAATACATATTTTTATGCTTAAGTAAATGGCATATATCTAAAAATTAGAATTTGGGTGTTGGTTATGTAAATACATAAGAATTGAGTGGTATGCATGCAAATCTTCCAAAAAAAAACTGCCGCCTTGAACCTTTCCTCTCCGACGCGCAAATCGCACTCAGTTCTAACTTTCTCACTGCTGCCATCTTCTTTCTTCTTCCATCTCCGATTTCAATCCATCTTCCCTAATCCTCATCCCACCAGCCAAAAAGCTGTTGCGTCAATCACCAGCGCAATCATGATCGGCAGAGGGAAGG